CTGGCCGGGAGGGGGCGGCCGCCTCGGCCCCATCCCCAGCCCAGCCTGACCCTGAACCCTTGTCTCTGCAGCTTCGACGACATTGACTTGCCGTCGGCAGTGAAGTACCTCATGGCCTCAGACCCCAACCTGCAGGTGCTGGGCGCAGCCTACATCCAGCACAAGTGCTACAGCGACGCGGCGGCCAAGAAGCAGGTGACCGCCCTGCGACACCCGTGACCCCAACCTCCCGACCTCTGGCCTCTGACCACCCTCCCTGACCTGTGGCCCCTGACTACCCTCCCTGACCTCTGGTTCATGACCACCCTCCCTGACCTCTGGTTCATGACCACCCTCCCTGACCTCTGGCCCCTGATCACCCTCCCTGACCTCTGGCCCCTGATCACCCTCCCTGACCTCTGGCCCCTCACCACCCTCCCTGACCTCTGGTTCATGCCCACCCTCCCTGACCTCTGGCCCCTCACCACCCTCCCTGACCCCAGGGGACTGTGCTGGCTTCATTTGCCAGAGTCTCCTCAGCAGAGGAGGAGCAGGAGGGAGTGGTTTGCATATGTCTGCATACACTGCACACCTCTGCACACACCTGTATACACCTGCACACACCTGTATACACCTGCATTCGTCAGCACACCTCTACACACCTGCACACACCTGCCTATACCTGCATTCTGTATCCTCCTGCACACCTGCACACCTCTGCACACCTCTGCACACACCTGCACACCTCTGTACACACCTGCATACACCTGCCTATACCTGCATTCTGCATCCCCCTGCACACCTCTACACACCTCTGTACACACCTGCACACTTCTTACATGCCTGCATACCTCTGTACACATCTGCACACCTCTGCACATGCCTGCACACCTCTGCACACCTCTTACACGCCTGCATACCTCTGTACACACCTGCACACGTTACACACCTACACACCTCTGTACACACCTGCACACCTCTTACATGCCTGCATACCTCTGCACACGCCTGCACACCTTTGTATGCCTCTGCACACCCGTGCACACGCCTGTACAGTGTGCACACGTGGGCTAATAGCGCGTGCTGTGCCTGCAGGCCCGCAGTCTTCAGGCCGTGCCCCGGCTGGTGAAGCTCTTCAACCACGCCAACCAGGAGGTGCAGCGCCACGCCACGGGCGCCATGCGCAACCTCATCTACGACAACGCGGACAACAAGCTGGCGCTGGTGGAGGAGAACGGCATCTTCGAGCTGCTGCGGACGCTGCGCGAGCAGGACGACGAGCTGCGCAAGAACGTCACAGGTGCCGGGGCCGCCACCCCTCTGCCTGTCCTCCGGTCCCGTCTCCGCCTGCCCGCCCTGTCCCACCTCTTCCCTTGGTCCCGTGGCTACCCTGGGGCGGGTCTCCAGTGCCCAGGGCCAGGTCCCCGGGCCACACGCCAGCTGTCCCCAGGGGGCGCGCGGGGAGGCTCCCCACCCGGGCCCAGGCGGAGCCCCGGGAGAGGTTACACGCTTCCTCCCACCCGCCCCGGGAGAGCCGGAGGGTGGCGGGCGCCCCTGACCAGGCCTCGGCCTCCCCGCCCAGGCATCCTGTGGAACCTGTCCTCCAGCGACCACCTGAAGGACCGCCTGGCCCGGGACACGCTGGAGCAGCTCACAGACCTGGTGCTGAGCCCCCTCTCGGGGGCCGGGGGGCCTTCCCTCATCCAGCAGAACGCCTCCGAGGCGGAGATCTTCTACAAGGCCACTGGCTTCCTCAGGTGCGGGGGCGGAGCTTCCCAGGTGCGGGGGCGGAGCTTCCCAGGGGCGCGGGGCGGGGCTTCCCAGGGGCACCCAGGAGTGGGGTGGGAGAGGATGCCAGGACGCCAGGGAGAGCACGTGCTGGGAGGGCTGAACAAGGAGGCAGAGAAGCAGTCAACCAAGCAAGACACAGGTGCTGAGGCAGCCAGTGTGGCTCAGTGGTTGACCATTGACCTACGAACCAGGAGGTCAGGGGTCGATTCCCGGTCAGGGCACATGCCTGGGTTTCGGGCTCCATCCCCAGTGTGGGGCGTGCAGGAGGCAGCAGATCCATGATTCTCATCATTGATGTTTCTCTCTTCCTCTCCCTTCCTCTCTGACATCAGTAAAATTATTTTTAAAAACTAAAAGACAGAGGTGCTGGCGCAGTGGGTCTGGTGCCAGCTGTGGCTGCCAGGTGTGATGTCAGTGGACTCTGGGCCCACAGGCTCAGGTTTCATTAAATCAGGCACCTGATCTGACATTCCTAACCTCCTCCGGACGTTTCCAGGAGGGGAGGGGGGTACAGTGGGACCAGGGACCAGGGGCAGGAGGTGCCGAGGAGCCCAGCGCAGGGCGAGAAGGGGGCGGGCACTAAGGATTTTAGCCCTCGGGCTCAGGTCTCCGTGGGGTGGGCTCCTCCCGGGATCCCTGTGGGGGTCTCTGATCCGCCTCCACCCGCAGGAACCTCAGCTCGGCCTCCCAGGCCACTCGCCAGAAGATGCGTGAGTGCCATGGGCTGGTGGACGCCCTGGTCACCTACATCAACCAGGCCCTGGACGTGGGCAAGTGCGAGGACAAGGTGAGGGGTGGCCGGTGGGGAGGGCGGCCGGTGGAGTCGGGAGGGGCCAGCCCGTTCTGACCAGAGTCCGCTCGCACAGAGCGTGGAGAACGCCGTGTGCGTGCTGAGGAACCTGTCCTACCGCCTGTACGACGAGATGCCGCCGTCAGCCCTGCAGCGCCTCGAGGGCCGGGGCCGCAGGGACATGGCC